CAGAAGTCGAAACCCTAGCGATGTCAGCATGGTCAGCCCCAGGCCCCAGGCCCTGGTCCCAGCCCCAGGTCCCAGGCCCTGGCCCCAGCCTCACGCCCCAGGCCCTTGTCCCAGCCCACACCCAGCCCCAGGTCCCAGGCCCTGGTCCCAGCCCCAGGTCCCAGACCCTGGTCCCAGCCCCAGGTCCCAGACCCTGGTCCCAGCCCCAGGCCCTGGTCCCAGCCTCACGCCCTGGTCCCAGCCCCAGGTCCCAGGCCCTGTTCCCAGCCCCAGGCCTCAGGTCCTGGTCCTAGCCCTAGGTCCCAGACCCTGGTCCCAGCTCCAGGCCCTGGTCCCAGCCCCACGCCCTGGTCCCAGCTCACGTCCCAGGCCCTGGTCCCAGCCCCAGGCCTCAGGTCCTGGTCCCAGCCCCAAGTCCCAGACCCTGGTCCCAGCCCCGGGCCCTGGTCCCAGCCCCAGGTCCTGGTCCCAGCCCACGCCCCAGGCCCTGGTCCCAGCCCCAGGCCCTGGTCCCAGCCCCAGGTCCTGGTCCCAGCCCACGTCCCAGGCCCTGGTCCCAGCCCCAGGCCTCAGGTCCTGGTCCCAGCCCCAGGTCCCAGACCCTGGTCCCAGCCCCAGGCCCTGGTCCCAGCCCACGTCCCAGACCCTGGTCACGTACGGGGGACGATCTCCGACGCCAATGTCAATTAAGGTTAATCGTCGCGGCCCAGACGCCTTCGAGAAAGTTTGTACCGGCGGACTGTTGAGTCTTCAGGCGTTGCTGACGTGATTAATTATGCATTCCCTTCAACCGGAGTCAGAGGGCGCCAGGCCACCCAATGTGGAGCCCGCCGCAGTCGTCACGCCTCATGCAGGCCGGCCCGAGCGCGCACGTGTCGCCGTCGGGCCGGGAACGGACACGGGCGAGCCCGGCTGGGCCGGCGGAGCCAACTGTCAGGGGATGCGCGTCCGGACGCGCCGCGGCGGCCGGAAGTTGCCACGTCCGGCACGCCTCTGTCACACCGGCACCACGGGCGGCGCGCCGCCGGCAACAGGGTGTCGCGGAAGGGCAGAGGGCTGCCAACGACCCGACGCGACCCGCGACCTTTGCGTGCGCGTCTGCCGCACCGACCGGTGTGGAGGCTCGCGGTCGGTGACATTTTACACGGCGCGACCTTGTTGGAAACGGACCACTTGTTTGATTTATGAAAGCGGCCGTGACGGCCGCCAGCGCCGCGCCGTGGCGTCGAGCCCGGGCTCAGCGAGTAGGGACACCAGCGCAAACAAGGCCGCCGCGCCGGAGCCGGCCGTGCTGATGCGCGCTGAGCCCGTCGGCGGCGGTCCGGCTGCGTGCGGGCTCTTGATGGTGATCAACGGGCGCGTTCCCGGTGACAAACTGCAGCGACAGTCTACTGGGCCCGCGCCGAAAACACGAGCTCCGCTGCACCGCACGCAGCCCAGCCACGTCGTTCATCAGCCATGCTTTGTGGCTCGCCGCACCAGACCAAGCCTCCTCGTTAGCTGAGCAAACAGCACGAAGGACCGGTCAAACGCGCCACGTCCGCCCGCGCCACCAGGTCGATGTGGCGCCGGTCGCCCCGGCCGCGAGCGGAGCCCTCTTTGCGCGCAGCCCGTCGCCTGCTGACGTCAGCCGTCACCGGAGCCGCCCCAAGGCGCCGGCGTTGGGCCGCCGCTACCGCCGCCGCCGCGCAGCCCGGGCCAGCTCGGCGCTGTCTGGAGCGTTCTCCAGAGTGGTCATCGCCGGCGCCGATGACTTGTATGCCGGAGTCGCGCCAGCAGCGCACTCGTCAGTGGCGCGACCGGACTGACGCGCCGCGCTGCGTGACTCAGCGGAGCGGCGGGCGGCGGCGGCGGCACGTCACCGGCCGCCGCCGCCCGCCGCCGCCGCTGTCTCAGCTCCGGGCCTCCGCCCAAACACTGACTGCACCGATTCCGAGTAATTCGCCACAGCGCGCGCAGAATGGCACAGCCGTTTGCAGCTGCCCGGTAGAGCGGCGCTAACGTCCTCCCCGGCCCATCCGCTGCTCCGCTTGGTTGATCCACTACCGCCCCCCCCCCCCCCTACCCACCCGCTACTTCAGCCGTCATCAGAGGCCCGCAGCGCCCTGCGTGATGCTAACCGCGGCCGTAAAGAGCAGGCCGGCTGCGACTGACAGCGCGCAGAGCTGCGGTCTGCCGGCCCAGTCATCTGGGAGCCGGCGCAGCCAGCACCGGTGCGGTGTTGTCGCCGATTGAGCCGCCGCCGCCGCCGCCGCCGGGCGGAAGACTCCCAGTCGGAGGTGCTTTGCATTTGTCGCCAGCCGGCCTAGCGTGTGCGCTTCCCGGCGGGGGCGGCGGCGTAAGGTCACGGCCGTCTCCCGCGAGCATTCAAATGCGGTTATGTGAGACGCTCTCCACTGGCACCAACTGTTCTCAGTAGGTGACGCAGTGTTCTTGTCTCGACATCAAACGGCCGCGACTGTTTTAGCACGTGTCGATGTCTGTCAGGCGGGACAGCGGTGAGGATTTAGGGCGCCCTCTCCTGGCAGGCGGTGCTCTAGGTCGGCCGGCATGTGCGGTTTGAATGTTGGGGCTTCATAATGGTTTACGACAAAGCACAATCACACAAAAACAAACCCGAAACGAATCCAATTAGATTAATGAATTGATATTGGATCACGTAGTCATGGCAACCTGACAGAATAAACGGTAGATATGTGCCACAGCTATCATTTTCATGCCGATAGGTTTCCAGGGCGCTAAACCAAATCACGATAGTGTGTATTTTTTGTGTATACTAAGCGTGTTCCCGAAGTCAAATTTGTCCTTCACCTAGTTCGCACGTCCCAGGGTCAACAGCTGCCAGTTCCTCTGAGAAGCCCTATCGGCAAAATGACGTACGTACGTGACCTTTCCTGAGCACCGAAAATGACACTTTCTGTTGCTTCCGTTCATCTGGGGCGTAGTTTCCTATCTGCGTTGGTGGTTTGTGTCTGCATCAGCCGGTGTCTGATACCAGAGCATGTGGGACAGACGGCGCGTTCGCGACATTCTGGGATACGCAAACAGCAAAGAGAGCGTTTTCGACAGCATCAGCAGCCCGGTCTCGGTTTATCTTATCGTTAGAGTGCTCCGATAGCAAAAAAGTTAGGCGGACAGGCAAGCACCACTGACCAGGTTACATGAACCTCACCATAAGGAGGATGGTGAATACTGGCTGCCGGTTTCATCTTGGTTATCTTCGTGGCATTAGCTTTATAGCTGGTGACGGCACCTAACACGCGCGTGTTCCCAAATATGAAATAGCTATGTTTTGTGAACATTGGCGAGCTCGTGTTCAGCAACCCGACCTGCAGCGATCACGACTTTTCTAGAAGTCGTCTCGCCGAAGACAATCCGCAGTGGCCTTGGTACTCGCAGTAACCTTGGCAGAAACCGCAGAACCGGTCATCGCTGCTATAACCGGCGCTGGATCACCTCTCGGCGATCGAGAAGGCACTCGCCCGGACGGGAAACCAGGAGGGAAGGAGGTAACGGCAGCTGAACGCAGAACAATCAGCCGTTGGTTAGTTTGAGCACCCCAACCATCACCTTCGCAGTAGCAGATGCTAGTCCCAGCATGGTTCACACTAACAAGGCACGCTTAATTAAACAACACTCGAACTCAACTTCACCAAAGGCAAAAACGTGTTCTTTCCTGCGTTCTGAACCAGCACAGGACTGACGCATGACTAGAATGGTACCGTTAGGCGATTACAATGCGGGCTTGATCGTATTACACCAGGGGGAATACGGGGCGAGTAGGAGGGGCGGGAGGGGGGGGGGGGCAAGGCAGACCTGTAATCCCGATCCCTCACACTTCTAGTGGTGCAAAATCAAGCTGCTACTGCCCCGTGCACGTAGAACGTACCCCAAGAAGTTCGACCTTAGCCCATACTAACCTCAGATCCGCCTTGCTGCAGGCAGTAGCTGCAAAAAACAGCCGTGAACATGGCAGGCCAGCCCCACGCGACCGCGACGGGGGTTGCTTTCTGTTCACGACACGACACGACTCCTGTGCGATTCCCGATTCTGCGGCCGCACCTGTGCCCGGCGGCGACACTTGAAGCGGCATCCGTGCGGCGAGCGCACGCCAAAACCCCACCGAGCGAGCCGCATAGGCGACCCTTCTGCACATGTACCTGACATGTCATTGATGCGTATCAAATATTCAAACGTATCCGCTTTGGAAACCGCTGAGCGGCTACGGATCTAATCTTGGAGCAGGCGTGCGTCCGGCTGCGCATGAATAAATAACGCAGCTGTCGGCCGGACAGATTGAAACTCGTCGGCATCGTGAGACCGTCAGGGGCGCGCTCAGGGCGAGAATCTGGGCGGCGGCCACCTGTCATGCACGTCTGGGGTGCGGTCGTCAGAGCAGGGCAGCAGGGGAGGGTAACGATCAAGGTCAAGACGGCAGCCATCGGCGAGAGCAGCCGATCGCCAGGGGCGCGCCCAGGACCACAAATCAGGGGGATCCACCAGCGACCTCGGCAACAATGAAGCGCCTTGCAGTGTCGTTTATCAATACGAAACTTGGCCATCCTTCAGGTCTTCTACTCTACCATTCACTTCGAGTAATCCGAGCGCACTGATGATCTGAGGATCGTGCCTGCTCACAGGCCTCCCCGTCACAGCTGGCGGGTGAAAATCGATTACGGCATGTAAAACAAGTTCGACCGACTGGTTATTCACTAGCTCCATCTCATTCGGCATCGCTCCTTACCACAGGAGGACACCCATTGGGACAAACGCTACCAAGGCCACGCGAGGTCCAGCACCGCCACGTCAGCAGACACGCGGCGCGGCGCCGGCCTCGTTTACGGGGCGACCGCTACGCTCCGACTGCTGCCGCCCGCCCCGCCTGTCCCTCACAGAGCACGGTGCGAGCCGGCCGCCGACCGCCGGCCGCCGGTTCTCGGGACCGCATCGCAGGCACCGGCGCCGCGTGCCCGTGGGCGACGGCAGCCGCCGCCGCTTACCTGGACCCCGACGGGGCGCCTGGTGCACCACGTGGCCAATGTTCCTCATGCTGGCGAGCGCGCGCCGGCCACGGGCGGCGCCGTCCTGTCACGACCGGAGGGGAGGGCGCCTCTCGCGCGAGCCCAACCGACCAGCCGGTCTTCAGCGCGGAGGCGGAGCACGGGCGCGCGGGCAGCGGCTCAGGATGAGTGTGGCCGCCTCTCTCCGCCCAAAACAACGGCGTCGGCCAGATAGCCGGATGCCGCTACTAAACGACAGGCGATGTCCACCAATCGCGACGCTCGTTCTCCTTCAGTTGGCAGCTCTCAGCCGTTCGGCTGTTCACAGTTCGCAGCTCTCAGCCGTTAAGCTGTTCACAGTTGGCAGCTCTCAACCGTTCGGCTGTTCACAGTTGGCAGCTCTCAGCCGTCCTGCTGTTCACAGTTGGCAGCTCTCAGCCGTCCCGTTGTTCACAACTGGCAGCTCCCAGCTGTCCCGCTGTTCAGTCAGCAGCCCTCAGCTGTCCTGCTGTTCACAGCTGGCAGCTCTCAGCCATCCTGCTGTTAGTCGTCAGCTTTCAGCCGTGCCGTCGCTCCCAATCAGAAGCCGTCAGCGGTGGGGCGCGGCCGGACGGCTCTGCCGGGCGACCGCGGGCGGCGGCTGCTCGGCTCACCACTGCACTGGCTGCGGGCCGGCTGCGCGGCTGCAGCGACGGCCGCGCGGTGCCGTCCGGCCGGTCACGTGTGCGGCCGCTCCGGCTCCCGGCGGCCGGCCGCCGTGCGGCGGCGCGGAGCCGGTCCGCGCGCGCTAGCAGCCGCCGCTGGGACGCGCCCGAGGGCGGCCGGCCGGCCCGGAGCTGGCGACGTCCGGCGCCGGCACAGGCACCGCGCCGCCACAGTGCGCCACCAGCCCACTGACGCCCGGAGAGACGGCTCTTCGCACCCGGCCCCCGCCCGAACGCCACAGCCGGTAAGAGAAGGCCGCGGCGGCCCAAACGCCGCGGTCGGCCGCATCGGCCGAATTCGGTACGCCTCAGGTGGTAAAACACACCCGAGACTGATACACCCCTGCTCCGGGCACGCGTGGCGCGTGTGATAGCTGGCGCGTGAGGTCTGGCCTGCGGCGCGGCTCGCAAGCGAGATAGTTGAGGTCTGCACGCCACAGCCCACAGCTGATAAGCAGCTGTCGATGAGCCCCAGCTGGTATGCAACAGCTGTGGCCCATAGAGACTGACTGATTGCGCATATGTACGACCGTACGCATAACGTAAGGCAGACGTGTATATACAAAGGCTCGTAACAATGAGCTGAAGCCTGTTGCGGACATCCGCGGCTGGAGGGCTGCGGCCCGTATGAAACGATAGCCGTCGTAGCACTGTAACGAGATCGCCGCGGGCGGTACGTCACGTCTATAAACGGGCCATCGCAATCAACGGGAAGCGGCTGAGGTCAAAAGATCGTGACACAGCAGCGTGCGGTGGGCACGTCACAGCAGGAACGGAGCCGGTCGGTCCGCTCGGGGCATTACAGGCCGTCCGCACCGGCGGCAGACGGCTGGAGCGAGGAGACCGTGCTTGGCTGCGGTCGGCTGCCAGGGTCCAAGCGCAACAGACGGCGTCGAGTCAGCGGTAGCCAGGCCGTCGCCGCCAGTCGGCAGCGGCATCTTCCGCCGCGACCGACAGGAAGCGGCGACGACGGCGGCGGCGGCGGCCGGTAAGCCGGGGCTGTGCACGGTCGGAGCGGCTGGCATCGATCGGTGGCCGCCGCCGGCGCCGGTCAGCCGCCCGCCGTGCACGAGGCGACGCCCCGGCCGCCGCCGCCACCGCCGCCGACGGCGGCCACAATTATCGCCGGACACCGGCGTACGGACGCATCGACCGACGGCACAGACCGCCACCCAGCTGACGGAGCGGCAGCGGTGATCCTGGGGCCAGCGCCGGTCCTGAGGTTAACACCGGTCCCGAAGTCAACGCCGGTCCTGAGGCCAGCGCCGGTCCCGAGGCCAGCACCGGTCCAGGGACCAGCACCGGTCCTGAGGCCAGCACCGGTCCTGAGGCCAGCACCGGTCCTGAGACCATGCGGTCCTAGAGCCCGCGCTGGTCCTGAGACCAGCGCTGGTCCTGAGACCAACGCCGGTCTTGAGGCCGGCACCGGTTCTGAGACCACGCGGTCCTGAGGCCCGCGCTGGTCCTGAGACCAGCGCTGGTCCTGAGACCAGTGCCAGTCCTGAGGTCAGCGCCGGTCCTGAGGCCAGCATCGGTCCTGAGACCCGCGCTGGTCCTGAGACCAGCGCCGGTCCCGAAGTCGGCGCCGGTCCTGAGGCCGGCACCGGTCCTGAGACCAGCGCCGGTCCTGAGCCCAGCGCCGGTCCTGAGCCCACGGCCAGTGTTATGAGCAGCGCTGGTGCCGTCATCGGTGTCTCCCCGGCTGGCAGCGACGACGCTTCACCACGCAGCGGAGTGGGCGCGGTCCGGCGCCGTACTCACGAAAGCCCGTTCCCCGGGGGCGACCCACGCCCCAGGCTGCCACCAGCGAGTGCCCCCGTGTCCAGCCCGTTGACTGGCCGACTGCGGTGGCGATCACGTGGGTCCGGTCAACATCCTGAGACCGGCGCCGGTACCCGGACGGGCGGAGGTCCCATCGCGCTGCTATACGCGGTGCGCGAGCACCACTGACGCTGAGCCGCATGCAGCCATGCACACCGAACCTTCCCCGTTCTCTTGCGGTGAGGTCGGTCATACTGTACTCGACTTAAACGGCTCTGTTGCGGTGGTTGAAAGACACTATGATTTTGCTCTCGGATGCGATGCTGTTGGTGACATAGTTACAAAACGCATCACCACTTTATGCTTCTGGCACGCTACACGCTATTGGCGCGTTGGCTGACTCTAAAACTAAGCGTTAGTAATGCCACCCTAAATATGAAATCCTTCGCATTATTCGTGGCCAGTTTCGTCCAAAACATGCAGGGCTTTGTATGGATATCGTGCTGTGGGTGAGCCGGCTATTCATATGGGAAACTGACAAACAGCTTCGCGAAAAAGTTCTTTTAGATCGAACAGGCTCGCCCTTGCGGACAGGTGCACAGCACAGCTGCCCACCAACATTCAACTCACCAACGTTCAAACACAGGAAGCGTTGGCGTCACTGACGCGCACACTCGGCCCTGAATCTCTCGTCAGACAGTCCCCTTTCCCTGCGCGTCCCGAGTCACGGTCATTGACCCGCGGACCGGACCTCTGGACTTGGCCAAGGTCGGCAGGGCCGGGACCGACCGGACGTCCTTCTCCCGGCGCCCGCAGCTTGACCCCAGCAGCCGTGGCCACGCCGCTGAAGGGTGGCGCCCGGCGAGACGGCATCCACATCAGTTCCTCTCGAACACAATCTTTGGTCGGTGCTGGCAGGACATCACGCTGCGCAGCGGTTCTTCAGGCATGTTTGTCATTTAGAAAGGAGAGCAGTCCTTCGACACCGCGACATAGCGCATGCTCACCACGCTCAGCGGCCGGCTCTGAGCGCTTAGCCACAAGCTGCGGCCGAACCCTCTTGAGCGCCATGCACATCGCAAACAGAAGAGCTGCAAGGCAGGGGCACGGGAACCGGAGGGCCAGGGGACGCGACCTCCCACCATCCTGATCATTTCTCCTTGACCCCATTAGCATTGACTGAAATGAAATAACCAAAAAAGGGGTTGTCGCCGAGGGTTTCGCAGCATCTTAATTTGGCGAATGTGGTCGCGAGCTGAAATATGCTGCGGAGGGTTCCGAATTTTTATTTGTTTGACAAGCCTGGTTTAAGCCATGGAGTCACAGCCTGATGCCTCACACGGCAATAAAGGAAAGGATGAGCCCGTCTCGTGCTACACATGCCTGTCTCGAGTACTGGCTGCGGCTGTTCAACATCACGTGACCTGTGACCCAGCGGTCTTGCTGGCCTGACTCCACCTGTAGCCCGCCTCCCTAAATTTCTGCCGCAGAACGCAAGAGTGTCCAGCGGGGGACGGCAGGGGGGAGGGGGGACAACCCAGCGCGGGATCTGCAGAACAGACTAGCTACTTACGAATTATTTTTAGAAAGCGTTGCATTCGTGAGCATTGATCAGACATCTCGCTGCCAGGCGCTCATCCGGGCATGGTTGTTTTCCATTTCAAGGAGAGCCGCTCTCCGACATTCCGAGGCAGTCCCAGGGGACCACACAATCTCAGCGCGCCCCGCGAACGGCGCCGCACCCTAGGCTAACGTCGCGGCTCCAGCCTATTTGCAGTATCAACGTGACTTTCGGCATATAAACAGGGCCCTGGCTCGGCCTTAGCCACCACACAGTCCGCCGCCACGTCCAGACGTTCGTTGTCCACTCGGCATGTGCACCGCCATACGGTCCAATCCACAGCGTCCACTCTGCACCACCTGCGCGGCCGGACCGCTGGTCCGAGGCTCACCGGACCGATGGTCCGAGGTTCAAGCGGTCCGAGGCTCACTGGACCCCTGGTCCGAGGCTCGCTGGACCGATGGTCCGAGGCTCACTGGACCGATGGTCCGAGGCTCACTGGACCGTTGGTCCGAGGCTCACTGGACCGCTGGTCCGAGGCTCACTGGACCGATGGTCCGAGGTTCAAGCGGTCCGAGGCTCACTGTGTCGATGGTCCGAGGCTCACTGGACCACTGGTCCGAGGCTCTTGGACCGATAGTCAGAGGCTCATCGGACCGATGGTCCGAGTCTCACCGAACCAGAGGCGATACGCTCCACCAGAATTGTGTAGTTTTGTAGCTGATGGTCCGAACATGAGCATAGCTCAGCAGTCGGGGTCCAGATTTCACGGCAACATGACATCGATGTCACGACAATCTCTGGATTCGACCATCCACATGTAAATGGTGTGATTGCGCGATCCAGACCTGTCAGCTGGATTCAGGCGGACTCGCGTCAGCGTACTGGCCAACACCGCCGTCATGACGGCGGGGCTCCACCCCGCTGCGTTCGGGTCACCTCCTCTGCACGAGGACGGTCCCCGCACAGCCGATCCCAGGCGTCCGAGCCGAGTCAGCGCCGGGTCACGGCGCCGCGCCGGCCGCCGGCGGTGACGCCGCAGCAGCTGGAGTGGGTGCCGGCATCCGACGGTTCCGAGCAGGATGTGGATCAAACGCGCGTCTCCGATGCCGGCGTTCCGCCGCGATAGACAGAGCTGCGCAGGCTGAGCTCAACTTTGACCGGCCACTTCCGATGCCGACGAGAATGCTGGCGCGAGGCCTCTGTGCGTGTTGGCACGGCTCGCAAAGACCGCCAGAGTCAGAGCATCATGGCGGAAGGGACACCAAACAGCTGGCATACAAGTGGGCGAGCAAATCATCTGAATGTGACTTCGGGGAAAAGCGCAAACTTCGCGGCCCCTGCCAACAGTGACCCAACCAGCTCGCCTGAGCCGGACTATTCAAGATGGTTCGAAGTACGGTCGGTTTCGGAGTAAGATCCGCTTTTCCGCAACATCCGGTGACACTGCATGAGTTGGATCTATTTCTGATTTTCCGAACATTCTAATCGCGAACGCCACGTCATGCACCATGTTCATACATGGCCAGCACCCACATGCATGATGCATGATAAAACGGTAAGCTCAACCTGGAATCCAATTCAAGATGCGAAGCTCCTCAATGATTCCGTTCAC